AATAACTTGTTTATATATGGTAGTATTTGTGTTAACTTACATCATTTATTGTCGTATACCGTAGTAACTCTTCCCAAATCAACAGCCGCCGTTTCCTCTTCCAGGAAATAGCTCTAGGAATATCATTTGAAGTTTTTAATGCATATGTCTGCATGTCGGGAAAAGCCTCAAATATCCAAATCTACAAACAATATAATACACAAACATTAGTAATTGTTAAATAATTAATTATAATTTTGGAAACATTATATAGAAATTCTTACCTTAAAGGCCCAAATAAAGCCTGACAAAGTGTATTTGGAACCATCGCCACGCAAACTTTTGCAGTCATCAAAGGTAGACGACAACTTATTCCAGGTAGCCTTCCATAGATACGAACCCCACAGAAACATGTTCATTGCATTTAGGTCATCTACCAATAATATTAGGTCCTTAGGAATAGGTTGTCTGGCCTCTCTGCCTAAAAAGTCGGCATGCAAAAGTACTAAAAGGCATACTCGGACAACATCGACGTCATCCATCCGAGTAAAATCATCTTTCTTATTCAATAATATAGTCAAGTCGTCGACATGTAAATTCGGCTTCTCCATTGACAGCTCAGGAAAAACCCGGGATAACCATGATGGGCGGGTAATATGACTAGTGTATCGACCTACATCATCGTGTCCGAAGCGTAGACCAGTGATTAAGCAAAACTCCTCTCGCCAAAAAAATGTATACGCCGGTGGAAAATGAAACCATATCTCTTCATTACCACGTTTTATACTCTCGGGTAGATCGCTAGTCATGGTCTGAAGCTACAAATGGGTCAACATAGCATCTCCACCCGGATGTTGTACTTTCAGCCATGGCCCGAAGCAAGTATTTTCAAACAATTTTCTTTGTACAGGTGAAAGCTTCGACACAATTGTAGTGACTAGGCTTATTTTATTCCTTAAGGTCAATTGAGCCGAAAAAAAAGTTCTACAAAAACAATAAACATACCAAGTTAGATATACCAAAAACTACATTTTGAAGATATACCAAAAACAATAATAAACATAAAGAGTAATAGTAGTTTATTCTTTAAACTTAAATTTGCAACACTGTGAATTTCGTATTTGTCTTTGTTTTTTGGTTGAAGTAATGCAATTCATTCAAGTTTCAATTTGCAGAAGAATAATAGTTTCTGAAACTTAAAATCGCAACACGAAAATGACTATCGCAACGCGAATTTGACTATCGCAACGCGAAATAAAAATCGCAACGAGAAAATCACAACGTGAAACTAAAATCGCGTTGCGATTTTGTCGTTGCGATTTTCATTTCGTGTTGCGATCATCGGTTTCAAATAGTCATTGTCTAAAATTAAAACTTGAATGAATTGCATTACTTCAACCAAAAGACAAAACAAAGACAAATACTAACTTTACAGGGTTAAAGACTAAACAGTTTAGCAGTATTGGCAGCTATCGAATGAATTTAATAAGCAATCTAAGTGAAATGGTTAATCTATTATTGAAATTACCAATAAACTTATCATCAATTTTAATATGAAAAACTTAATAATAATGCAAAAATTTCAAAATAAAAATAATTAAAAAAACTAACCCTCGGTGGTTGATTTGGTTGGTTTTTCATTTCTGATCGTGAATGATTGTGAGGGTGGCTCTGAGAGATGGAGATAGACGGTTTTCATTGGAGTTGGGGACGGATTTTGTCAGAGATGGGGACGAATGTCGTCGTAGAGAGTGAGAGATGGAGATAGGACTGAGTTGTGATTTAGGGTTTTAGGTTAAGAGTTACGATTACGGGATATATTAATATTTGTGTTTAGAATTTAAAAATAAAATACGCGTTACGATACTAATGACGCTAATATTCTTAGAAATAATAATTTTACCTTGTAGAAATTGTGGAGTAGACAAAGTTAATGCAGTGACGAAGAAAGTGAGAATCTCTAATCGCATAAATGTTTTGACGTTTCAAATTTTACCAAATACCAGTAACCAATCTCAATCAAACATAGCAGTCAGCAGCCGTACCCTTTGATTACATTTTTAATGATTTAACTCATTTGAAATATACGATTGAGTAAGTCAAATAATTGATTATAATTTAGCTGTGCCTGTTATTAGGGATGGGCATGCATGAGTTTGGGTCGGATTTCGATCAACTCGATTCGATTTGAAAATTTTATATTTTTTATCCGACCTGAATTTGATTTGAATTTTTTAAGATAAAATTTAAATCTGACTCGACTAGAAATAATAATAAAATATTATTTTTATTCAATAAATACAATGATTTAATTAAAAAAATATATAGAGGGGTATTATTATAATTATTTTTAAATATATAAGGTAAAATTATATTTTTTTCTGAGTCGGGTATGATTGAATATTTTTCACTCTAAACTCGAATACAACCCGATTACTTTGCAGATATTAATTTTGAACGGATAAATTATTCACCTAATCGATATATTAGGTGAATGAAAATCTTGTCAGATTCTTTTTTCCCCCATTGTTTATTAAAATCACTTAGGGTGTGTTTGGTTGGGGGAATGTGAGATTTTCATGGGAATGAAATCCACATTCCCTTGTTTGGTTGGCCGGTAATGTCATTTCCGGTAATCTTATATTATCAATAGTAGATTTTTTGGGGTATATTATCGGGAATGTAATTACCTCCCTTTCTTTAGGTATTGTTGGATTACCGGCGTTTTGGACTAAAATGCCCTTAAAAAAATTTCTTTCAAAAATATCATTACTCTGTCATTGAATAATAAAAATTCTACGAAGGTTAAATTACGAATTTATCCTTAAACTATTTTAGATTTACAAAAAAAAATCTATAATTAAAATTTTATATGAAGTTCAGTGGTAAAATAAAATTTTACCAATTCATTAAACATTTTTATATTTTTAATTTTGTAAAAATTTATATAAATTTTATGAATTTAAATTTTTTAAAGAAAATATATAAATATTTTTCAACTTGTTAAAAAACAAATATATAACAATGACAATTTGGTCAAGTATACATTCTAATAATCTTTTATTCTTTTAACCAAACAAGGTAATCTTACATTCCTACTAAACCAATCAAACACAAAATACAACATTCTCAGTAATCCTATTCCCTGATAATCTTTTATTCCTACTGGTAATCTTACATTCCGTGAACCAAACGCACCCTTATATATTACATCATTTTATATATATTAAAACAATATTATTCTCTTTTGACGTAATTTACTTCAAATATTTTTTATATATTTACTTTTTAAAAAAGTTTTTTTAATTCTTTCTCGTAATTTATTGTATATTTAAAATTTAAAATCATCTTTGTTGCGCGATTTAATAAATTAAAGGGTAAATTATATCGTTCATCACTAAACTTCATTTTTTTCTCTTATTTTTCTCACCCAACTTTCAATTTACTCATTGAACTTTACAGATTGAATTATTTTGCTCACTCTGTCTCTAAATAGCTAACAGCATTATGACATGACAAGAGCATCAAAACGACGTCGTTTTGAATCCTATATTGAAAGTACGCTGAGTAAAATAGGAGAGAGAGAGAGAGTTAAGTTTAGTGAGGAATTATATAATTTACCCTTTTTCCTTCTCTTCTTCATTTTATCTCAGCCGTCCACCACGTCATTTTCATTCCAGCCATCGTCCACTGTCGTTGAAGGTGATCGTTCTGTCTCAAATTTCATGGGTCGGTTTGTCTCGACCCCTGAGTCTGAATCTGGTGGTTGTTTCACCGAAAAATATCCTAAAACCCGTGAATTTGGACTGAAATGTTTTGACTTCCTCATTTTTAATCCCAAATTCGTGGACTCTGGAGCAAATTCTGACAAAATATAGGTTGGATTCGGACTCAAGGTGTTGAGGCGAAGCGACCCATAAAATTTGGGTAAGGAAAATAGGAGAGAGAATATAGTTTATTGTGAAATGGTGTAATTTACCCTAAATTAAAAGATAAAGTATATAAATGATCCACTGACTATATGATGTTGCTTTGTTGATTCCCTCAACTATTAAAAGTTATAAAATGGTCCTCTGACTATTCATATGTTCTAAACTCGTCATTTTCTGTTAAAAAATTAACGACAATCTGAGGTGGACTTTAACTTGCTAACTATGATATGATAAAATTTGATCCCAAAATCTTAAATGACTATCATATCGCAGTCAACATGTTAACGTCCAACTTAAATTGTCATCATTTTTAATGACAATGTCGGGTTTGAAACATGTGAATAGTTAGAGGATCATTTTGTATCTTTTAACATTCAAATGACTCAACAAAGCAAGACCCTATAGTCAAGGGACTATTTTATAATTTTTAATAACAATAAAACTCAACAAAGCAATACCCTGTAATCGGAGACTATTTGTATACTTTACCTTAAATTAAAATTATTCTCGTTATACTATACATATAAACCTATAATATCATCAATTTAGTTTATAATTGAGGATCCAAATGAGATATTTTTTATTAATTTAATATATTACATTATCATTTTAATGATAATTAAAGATGTAATATTTATTTTGTAAAACAGTTAAGTGGTCAAATGAGATATGATGCAATTTTTAAAACTTTAATGTTCAAAATGATTATTTTAATACTTAAATTATTAATTTTGGTCTATTTTAGTACTTAATTTTTATTTTTTCAAAATCATACCTAACATATAATTTTTGTTTAATTTTAGTATTTCTCCGTTAAAAATTAATACGTTTAGTACCTAAACTATCAATTTTTTTATGTTTTAGTACCTAAACTTTAAATTCATTTCAAAACTTAATGTTAAATTTTTAACGGGTACTAAAATAAAATAAAAACTAAATATTAAATATAATTTTGGAAAAAAATAAAAATTTATAACTAAAATGGACCAAAAAGTAGTAGTTTGAGTACTAAACTCGTAGTTTACCTTAATAATTAATTAATTCAAAAGTCGGTTATCTTCTGGTTTTATTAGTGTGTATATTGGAGTTTGTTTGGACTGTATTCTGTAAGATCCGTATTCTACTGTCTGTTTTCGAGTGATTATCATTGTACTGCTTAGAAAAGAAGGCAAAAACCAAGCCGCCTTGGCCACCATGGATGTTGTCAATCAGTTGCGGAGACAGTTTGTCGACTACTCTACATCATTACACCGTGAGGTCGATTTAGTTTCTGCTTTTGCCTTTTTTTGCTTAGATTTGACCACTATATTTTGTATTTGCAGTAAAATCTCATGATGGGTCTTTGTTTTTTAAGCCTATGATTGTTTCCCGGGGAAAAAAGGTGGAATTTTTGTTATAACAAAAGCCAAATGTAGTGGGGACTTATCATGTTGGTTTCCCCCGGGATAATAGATCTGTTCCCTTGAAAAAGGAGGAACCTTTGTTTTTTTTATCATTACTTTTAACTGTTCTTTTATTCCTTTTTTGTATTTTCTAGAGGGATTTGGGGAGGTTTTGTGATCATGGGTTGCTGTTGTTTTTTGAGCAGGGAATTTTGGATGACCAGTTTACTCAGCTCCAAAAACTGCAAGATGAAAACAGCCCTGATTTTGTGGTTGAGGTTGCTTCTCTCTTCTTTGAAGATTGTGAGAAGCTTATTAACAATATGGGCAGAGCTTTGTGAGTTTTTTTTTGGGGTCCTTTTTCATATTTAGTTTCTTGATTTCCTACCAAAAGTATGAAAATAGTTAGTAACTGGGATAATTTCCATCTCTCTTCAGAGAGCAACAACAAGGGGTTGATTTCAAGCAAGTAGATGCTAGTGTCCATCAGCTAAAGGGTAGTAGTTCCAGGTATTCATATATGCATATTTTATATATGTATTCCCTTGATTTGTTAGCATATAATTGGGACATTTCCATCTCGAGTATTCCAATGATCGATGTAGAAAACCAAAGAATTGTTTATTGATTTAGCTATATATACTCATTAGTTTGAAAGTTTATGATCAGTGTTTATGTTTCAATGGTAATAGCATAGGTGCAATGCGAGTTAAAAACGTGTGCATCACCTTCAGAAGTTTTTGCGAGGCCCAAAACCGAGAAGGGTGAGTTTTGCTTTCCATTTATATCTTCTTATAATCACGTATGGTGCTTTGTTATATTGACGAATTGAAGGTTTTCAAATCTTTTAATGATACTTGGCTAAACCTGATCATTCCAGAAAGCTTTTCTTTCCCCTTTAGCACAAGCAATGTTTGGAATTCAGATTTTTTGGCTTAGTGTGTTGTTAGCACCATGAGCATTACGCTTTGCAGAATATTAAAATAGCATCTTACTGGTCTTTTTGGGAGACCCACACTAATTTGTATGTCTGGCAAGAATGATTAGATGAAGAAATATGCATTTTTTGATAAGAATAGGGGGCCTCATTAAAAACCTCCCTCATAGTTGGCTCTTGTGAAGAAGCAACTAGCGAAGGAGGAAAAGAGTACCCCAATATATTAATAAACAATACTTACATAAGATTACAGTTTACAAAATAACCACCCGAAATAAACATAACATAACCACTATAACACTAAAAACATTCAACCTATCCCCTCCTTGGCTAACTTGTTTGCCTCCCAATTACATGTCCTAGGAATCAGCCTAACTATAATGTCTCTAGCAGAAACTGAAGCCCCAATTTCCCCAACCAAAGAACTGAAAAACGAAGGGGCAGCAACAGGCCTCAAAATCCAATCCACTGCTGTTTTACAATCACTCTCTAAAATTAGTCTTCCCTTCAACACCCATTCAGAAGAAAGAAATAAATCAATGCCTTGTTTAATAGCTTTCAACTCAGCAAACACAGGAGGACCTGGTCCCACAGCATTAGAAAAAGTGATTAAAGTAATGCCATTCGAATCTTTCAACAATCCACCAATTCCACCCTGCAAACCATCACCTCTAACCGCCCCATCCACATTGAATTTATAAAATTCAGGTGGAGGTGGAAGCCAGCACTGATCCTTCTGCTTTTTAGGAGGCTTAACTGAAATCTTTTCTGCAAGCAGTGGATCCCCTATTAATAGATCAACCTGAATATTAGCCTTAGGGAATTTAGCTAAAAACCATTTGGCCAGCCTAAACCTGCAAATGAAGAACAGTGTAGAACTATCGAATTTCCAGTTTTCAAACACCACTGAGTAATTTGCATGAATATGGATAAAATAGGCACTATGTGCAACAGTGTACATTCAACCATTTCACCTGGGTAGTTTGGTTGTGAGTGAGGATGAAAATAAGATTCTTAGGGAGGGATACCTTTTTTTTTTTGTGAAAAATCAAGCTGCCGTGCTTGGAAAAGAGAAAGCAAACTAATTTCAGCACTGTTCTTGAGTGCAAGTTGCATTTCCTGTTTTCCTTAGCCAAGTATTCAAGTTTCTATCAATCACATATGGTAATTTTGCAAGTTGTCACACTTGAACCCTTTTGTAAAATTGAAAAAAGATGATAACTTTCACACCTTGCTGATATGATTTGTAAGTTTTTGCTTCTTGCTCCCTTAAATCGTACGATGAATGGGTGAGGAGCCTTGCTAGACTTTTTGCTTAACTCAATAATGTTGGGATAGGTGCTTGAGATGCCTGCAGCAGGTGATTCACGAATTCTCCCTACTGAAGAACAAGCTTCAAACCTTATTCAGGGTAAGTATAAGAAAATGCTGGTAATATAACCAAGTATCTTCCTGCATGGCTTCGATTATGCAAGAAGAGATTCCCAGTTTACATGAAAGTGCTTATTCTTTCAAGTCAACCAGATTCCATCTCCAACAGTACATTTAACTGGATTCCTTCCTGCTGTTTTTCTTTTCAGCTGGAGCAACAAATTCTTACAGCAGGCGGTTCAATTCCGGTGATTGAATAAAACATCATTCATATCATTCCTTGTAGTAGAACAAAGGAAAAGTAAACAGTTTATATTGCAGATACTGAAGGGTTTAGATTTGTCTGTAAATCCTGTATGAGGTTATGGTAATGCTGTGAATCAACTGCAAAAACATATATGTGATAGTTTTCTTTGTTGGCTAATGTCGAGATTTCGAACACAGTAGGATGTGCTCTTAGTTTGTTTATTTTAGTTAATTCCTCCAGAAAATCTTCACAATTGGTTTGTTTGGACATATTGATGGAATAATAGTTGGTGATTAAGTTAGAATTACAATGAACTCCTTGTGGGGTTGATATCTTTCTATACTACTTGTAGTGACACATACTCGTGTGTGTGCGGTATTGGCTACACAAAGATTGCGCCTACTTTTAGAACTGTCAAAGCTTAGAGTGAATGTTCATTTTTTTTGAACTGTTGATCAATTCTGTCAATTAACCTCGTCTTCGATTTCACCGTTCTTCACCAATCATGACTTTAGCGTAATGCCACTCATTCGTCACAGGAAATCCTCATCGTTTAAGTAAGCTTTTCCTCTCCTGACCTATTTGACTTCAACCTAAACCAAAGCATAATAGTAATCTTCACTGGACCAATTCCATCTTGGATACTCTTGATCGCACTTCGAACAAATTGGAGCCACGCCTCTACATTTTATCTTATTTTTGAATGATTTGAACTCCAACAGTCCACTGCACATCACGTTTGGCCTGAGCATGCATGTACCCTCTCTGACTGAATTCAAACTCCCACATCGTGTAACCACCAATTAGACCCCTTTGGAACTCCAAACTGAAATCCTCACACCTGAAAAGCATTGAAACCTCGAATTGTTTTTGAGGACCAAGATTAAAACTATAATAATTAGAGGTAAAAGACAGAATGTGTAAGTATTTTAGGACTAAAATTGTTGTTATACTACGTCATATCATTATTTTTCTTAAGTCAATAATTAAATCTAACACGAGTAATCTAACAAAACGTAATATTATATATGATTTAAGATACACATATAATTAGATGACTAAAACTGATATACACAAATAGATGGGTGACAAAATAGTGAAATAAAATATTCGAATCTAAATTTTAAAAAATTTATTATGTATTTTATTATATACAAACATTCTAAAAAAGTGAAATAAAATACATGGAGTATAAAAGAAGGGAAATCCTAGCATCAAAAGAAAAATTACTTAAGGTTAAGAGCAGCAAATATTTTCACTGATTTTCTTTTTTCCTTAAAAATTTGGGTAGTTATGTCGTATGGAAGTCTAATATACGGCTAAGAAAAAGGCGCTACCGGAAATGTTATTATTTTTTAATATTTTCGGTAAAACGGTACCTAAAACATTATTTGTTCTACCAGAAATATTAATTTTACTAGCTAATTTTCGGTAGAAAAATTAATGTTTTAGGTAGTGTCCGATATTAACATTTTCGGTAGAAAAAATAATGTTTAGGTAGCGCCCAATATTAACATTTTCGATATAACAAATAATATTTTAAGTAGAGCTTTACTGAAAGTATTAAAAAATAATATATTTGATAATGTCTTTTTTTAACCGTATATTAGGCTACCGAGACTTTCCTAAAAATTTATGTTCAGTTGAAAAAAATAAGAGAGGATGGAAGGTGATGATGTAGATGTTGATGTAGACATGGCTGTCGGATTTAAAACTAAATTTGTTCTAAATGTTCTTACTTTCTTTTTCTTTTTTCACTAAATCTTCTTAAATGATATGCATAATATTAAAATTATATTAATATTCATAACAATAATATATCATTTAAAAGTTAAAAACAAAATTAAGATATAATATTACTTAATTAAAAATTAAAATATTTATTTATTTACTATATTTTCTCCTTCTACTTCCTCATTCTCCTTCTTTCACAATTTTTCCTAAGATTTTTTTCTTACAATTTTAACTTCAATTCCTCCTATTTAACACAAATTTTAAATTTTAACCACATATTTGTTCATCTATCCAAAGCCATTCATTTCAGAAACTTTTAAATTTCTAATGACCGTCTCCCGCTGCCCTTACCGCCCCTGCTGCTGTTCCCCTACAAAGTTATTTTTTTATATCAGTATTAGTGAATAGTAAAAATGAACAGTATCAGTAACAGTGAACAACAATGAACAGTAAATAAGCAATAATTTTTTCTTAAAAATTTGAACAGTTAAGGCGGCTTGTAAGCAAACCGATTGAATTGTAACAAAGAATTTTTTATTGAATAGTGAAGACTCGTAAACAGATCGTCTCTAATTTTTATTCGAAAAGAATAAAATGAGCAGTGATGGCATCTTGTAAGCAAGACAGTTGTAGCAGCAAAGAGATTTTCTTTATTGCACGTCATGAAATAGGGTAGCGAAAAAAATATAATAAAATATACCAAATGATGGTAAAAAACTTAATTGTACAAATATAAAAAATAATAGAATTATAGTTTATGGAGTATAATTGATTGACATGACATTCAAGTGTTGCTATGGGACCAGCCGGCAGGACATGACAGGACAGGATAACCCAATAAAAAAACACTCCAAATCATCACAGACTTCGTCATTTCCAAAGGATCAGGGACATGGATTCGGAAACTTGGCATGAACTTTGTTAATCTCAGCAATAATCTCAGATGTGAGCTCCACATTGCATGCACTAATAACCTCTTGAAGCTGCCATGGTTTTGTCACTCCAAACACAGCACTTGCCACCAGAGGATGATTCAGAACAAATGCTGCCACAAAAATACATATATTAATAGGTTACATAAAACAGGAATTCCAACCTTATGGCTAACTAGTTTTAGAGCATGGTATGCTCGCCGATAAATGGATACATGTGATTTGATGGATGTAATTACTCAGACAACTATTGTGCGTGCGTGTGTACATAACTACATACTGATTGCAAGTGATACAGGATGAACACCGTATTTTTCTGCAATATCAATGTATTCCTGCAAAGACGGGGAATCGGAAATAAAACCTTGATCAATCAAAAATTCAGAAGAATTAAGCTTAAGAAAGAGGTATCGGGCATAAAAGTGAAATTGAACTCTAAAGAAGACTATATGCTGCCATGCAGAAAGCTTTCCACGTCAAACAATAAGCTTATACGTCAAACACTTCATATCATGAATCTACACACCCACCAACCAAATACACCAATATGCCAGCACGTTCACATTCCTTCAATATTCATCCATTTAACCCATTTGAATTAATGATCATACAATAACTCGTTACAGATCGTATAAACATATTCCATTTTTCCATTCTAACATAGAGTGCCGTAGAATAATCTCTAGGATCAAATTGCAGAATAACATAGTTACCATTGTAGCTAATCTTAATGTCTTTCTGGTCAGATTGTACCGGGATTCACCTTCTGAATACCTCCCTAGAAAGCAGAAATGAGATTAAGAGAAGATAAAAAAAAAAAAAAAAACTCGATGGTAATATTAAAGAATCCTTGGTAGTCAACCTTTGAAAAGATTTAGCCGAGCATCAGGAGGCGCACCATCTAAAGCAAAATACTTCCCTGAAAGTATGCCCATAGCAAGTGGACTGTACCCCAACAAGTTGATCCTGTAAAATATTGAGTAGGTATAAGAAAGGAAAAAAGAAACACGCAAATCCACTAATCTAGATGAGTAAAACTGACTAGAGAATTAACAAAGGTAACTTCCATTTGAATGTTCAGAACCGATTTTTTTTTGCAAAGAACAATTATACACGTGTTTTGCATGATGAGCAGCAAAAGAGCAATCTACAGCAAGCCAAGGAGTTACATTCTGGCATTTGTAATCATACATTGGTAATTTAATTATAGAAAAAAAGGCATATGATGCAAGAACATAGGATTCGTAACTTATCCATATCAATCCTACTTTTTCCAAAGATTGGTAATTGTATGATAATGAACTTTTCATTGAGATCCTATACATACATGCAATTAAAAAACATAATTTTTAATTTAGAAAACAAAAAATTCACAAAGTATACCTCTCATGATGACAGCACTCAGCCATTCCAGAATCAAAAGTTCGGCAGAGCAAGCTATATGAATTCTAGAAAATATAAGCTTATCAGCTCCATCCATAGAAAGTAGTGAGAGATACAGAGGACATATTGCTTTTAACCACAATTGCACAGACAACCTGCACGCATATAATCTTAGGGTAGCAAGCATTGTTTTCTGCAAAATGAAGGAACTTCATGACACCATATGGTGTTTCATTACTGAGTCCAATATATCTGATCTGCAACTCAAAACAATGGTTTACTAAATTCCAATGGTGAGATTTTAAAAAGGCAAAACACATAACATATCACTTACCTTACCAGCATCAACAGCTCTACTGAGAGCATCAAGTTGTTCCTCAATTGGGACAGAAGAGAATTGTCGAACCGGATCATACTCAGTTTCTCCAAACATGGGAACATAGCTGGAGACGCAACTTTGAATCACATTAAAATGATGGTTCTTGTATTATAGAGGAAAGAACTAACAAGGAAGATAAACTGTAGTTTGTATTAAATTTGACAACTCCACAAACCCAAACTGTCCCCCAGGGAAATAAACAAAGGATAGGATTTATATACAAACCGATCAGGCCAGTGGATTTGATAAAGATCAATGTAGTCCATCTGCAGACGCTTTAAACTGCGAAACTCAAACATGAAGCTGTTAGAGCATAAAGGAATACAAAATCACCCATACACAGGCACTCACAGCATTATTCTCCTAGAAATCAATTGCAGCAGTTATAGGTAGTGCACATGCATACACAAAATATGATGTCGGTTAAGTTAGATAACAATGCTCAAGTAACTACAGCTGCAGTAGATACTATCCAATCCACAAAAACCAAGTAATACAGTTTCCAGACTTCTAATCAGGTACTGAAGAAAACCAATTAAGATAGGTATATTTGCAAATTGCAACTGTAATAAACTATATCTATTACTAAGATAACATTCAGTCACGAAAATTTTGACCATCGGGAGTACCGAAAGCTATTGATTTCAAGTTCTTGCTAGAAAAAGCCAAGAAAAAGAAAACCAGATTCAGTGACGCAATAATTATAAATTAATCATAAGTTGCAGATTCAGCAAATAAAAAGCTGACCAGATTATAAAAAGATCTTTTTCAAGGTAACAAAATTATATACTTTTGAATTACATTATTTGGACTTGTGAGTGAGTGTCAGATATGAGTATGTTTCCAACACAAGTATGCTCAATTGTTCCAAGTTATATTTGAAGAGTTGTACTTCTATACTTATCTTCAAATATGTGTAGGACATTGGTACTTGAAGGAAAAAGAAGAATCAGCAAAATAGCTTTTAAGATTGGTCCTAAAACAAAACATAACATGCAAGGATGGCAAGGAACTGGAAAGAGAGTCCCCTTGCTACAAGTGATAATGAAATTCTACACAGCATAGTAGCATAAAACGTAACAATTAATGCAAAAAAATTTCAAAGAGGGACCAACCCAGAGTCATTTCCAGTGCAATTTATGACACAGAAACTGTGACGTCACATGGGACTAACCTTCCATCTATTGCCTCAGTGATATTGTTGGCATCTAAACACTTTGGCCCATCTCTAATCCAACTCATTTGACCAGATGGTCCGGCAACCTGTGTCATAACCACTTCTATGATCAATATTCAATGCAAAAACATTCAAATGTGTGGCAACGAATAATAGAGTGATCAATGCATCTTTAAGAGAATACCCATTTTGAGATTTTCCCCGCACAACGAAAACCATCATAAGTCCACACAGAAATTGCTATAAACTTCAAAACTACATCATTGTGCTGAGGATTCTATCCTGCTGTCTGTGGAAATCCCCCAACAACCAGAAGATTTTGTGTTCTCGGGGTGTCTCTGTGTGGTCAACTATTTTGCCTCCTGACCCTTAGGAGGGTTCCGGGAGAGCCTTGTGTGGCCCACTCTTGGTAGATTTGGGGCAGAGTGCAATGGGCCCAATGGTACCATTTCTTAGGGAGAATGGTAGCTGGGCCGTGGCTCTCCACCCAAATCTACCAGGGATTTGGGGAACTATTGTGGCTCTCTGCCTAACTCCCAAGGCTAAAACCACGTCTAGACACCCCGAGAACAGAGTTCCTTCCTATTGTAGGGAGTTCGACCAACAATATGGGAGATATGTGAACACACTGCATTCCTTGTGGAAGCTCAGGTCAACAGATAAAAAGATCTATTGTGAGGTAAAGGGGTGCCAATCATAAAAATGAATCTCATTTCAATTTAAACTTATTCAATCCTGGATTGAAATGCGCATATAACTCTGGTTCAAATGGAATTTCTTACTACTATTGTAATGAAGTCAAAACGAACTTTTTTCAAGGCAAAGATGGTTCAAATATCGAATGGGCAATAATTATTAAGAAGACATCAACCACTAGCACCTGATAAGGGAAGAAAAAGAGGTAACCTTAGTAGAAATGACAACACGATCACGGGAGATATTCCTCTTTCTAACCCACCGACCAAAGTATTCCTCACTTTTCCCTCGAGTCTCAGCACGCTGAGGAACTGGGTACCTACACTTACAAAACAGAATACAACATAAATACATCAACGTTTAGAAGCCAAAAATCCAATATGGGTTTGAAATGAAGCGTGAAAGAAAGTGTACATTTCGGCAGAGTCGAAGAAGTTGATTCCAGCTTCAAAAGCTTGATCGAGAAGACGAAATGACTGAGGAAGAGAGTTCTGCTCCCCAAAAGTCATTGTTCCTGAGTATAAAACCAAGAGGGAATTAGAGACTTCCAATTTGTTAGTTCCTTGATGGCGGCCGAAGAGAATAATCATGGACAAACCGAAACAGAGCCTTGAAACTGTCAAATTGGGAGCAAGGTTGAAGAGAGGAACGGACATTGCTCCTAATGAAAAGAAAACCACTAGAAAAATGGCGGCAAATTTCTCCGTTTCACAGAATATACGAGAGGATAAGGAGGTTCCCAGCGAACTTCCGTGCTGTGATTTTTTTTCTTCTCCTTTAATAGTAAGTAGGGTCTTACCGAGAATTTAAACATAGAGATGTGCTTTAAAACCATTTTAGATATTTATTGTCAAAATCAAATATCATATTTAAATATTTATTATTACAATTAATTAAATAATTTTGTTTTATATTTACATATTAAATTAATTAGACACACTTGATTTAAATTTCTAAAATTGAATTAAATTATCCATCAAAACTATGTAAACTTATAAAATAAATTTAATTATATCAACGATCCCTTTTATCTCTGGCATGCAATCTCCATCTATCACTCGCTTCAAGACAATAGTTTTATCTATTCCATAGATCAAAGAAAAGTTGATTTGAAGGAAAAAAACAACCGTTACCAACACATGTTTGGTCAGGTACAACAGAGATTATAACTTTAATTTAATTTTAAATATAATCGAAATCTAATATAATTATCCAACATCGAATTGCCTTTTTAACGTTGTCCCCTCAAAATCTTGTTTTTTCCCCCCACGAAATAGTAAACTTCATGATGAGAGAAGCACTTCACCTTTATGTGAAGTTATTTCTCTTATTTAATGTGTAATTGAACTTTATGAAGCTAATCAACCATGTTCGTGTTTGTCGTTCTCCTAATTGATTCCCCAATTGGAATGACATAACATAATGCATTGGTTTAGATCAGAGCACTGTATTCTCTATTTTCTCAACTTCGTTTAATACTCCAATGAATGTGGATCGGGCAGAGTCGGCCTTTGGACAGACCTTGCTTTGCTTTGATGTGCATGCATATAAACCCGACTATTATAATCACTTGAGCTGAACTCCACCAGCAATTAGCATTTAGCAATCGCAATAACCTAAAAGTATAAGGCATCCTACATAACATTTCTAACACAAACTGACATTTGAGGACTATATGTATCCGAATCCCTAAGTTATGATGTCATACATAATTCCAAAAAAGGATATATTAGATACTAGATGCTTCTCATGTATGCGACCTGCATTTTCTAGTTTCCACGGGTGACTTGGTGTTTGGTCTTTTGGCTGAAGATACGAATTTTACTGTGTTTATTAAAACGCAATCTAAATTCTTCTCTTTGGCCAAAAAATCATTCTCCAAGACAGTCATGGAAACTATAAAATGCATTCCATACCTCGCATATTTGAAGGGTTCATTATCAGTAGCCCTTCCAGAAGATCCAGTCCTTTACTTGTCTCAGTTTTCCTGTCTCGAGACTCGTAATGACCTCAACTTAGCAGAGGACTTGAGCGAATGTATCAGAGGAGCATTATCATCTTCCTCGTCATCTTCCACCTGAGCATCTTCTTGATCGGATGTGTTAATTGAATCCTCCTCTTCACTTGAATTATGCTCATCAAAAAGTCTCCTACCCTCAATATTTCGCCGCTTCCTAGGACGACCCCTCTTTCTTGCAGTAATACGTTCCTTCTCATCTGCAAAACAGCAGCATGATTAGCTTTTAACTTTAAATTCCAAAGAACAAACTCATTGCTCCACAATGATGATATTATCGAAAAATATATATGTTATTAGAAGAAAACGTCAATTGCTTGTTTGCACATGTTAAGTGATGTTATACCACATTTTTTGAGTATTTTGTTTTTTCTTGTGGACTTACAATAAAGTTAGATACCTCCACCTATGGGCAAATTTATACTTCACATGAGAGAGACCAGAGAATAATTGAAATGAGACTCGTTAGTACCTTGAACCCCGTCATTCTTTGCACACTTCTCCTGCAAACTATCATGAAATGTATTATAGGGGCGCCACCAGCTTGGATCCTCTTCTGTATTTACATTTTCTGTCCTCTTCTGGACATCTCTCAGACTATAATAATAAAGTATTAAGTATGCACAATGGTTGGTCCCTGCTTAAAGAATGAATATAACGTTTTACATTAGATCAGAGAAATTCTTACATGTCTCTGATGTCAGGCGGAGGAAGTCGAGATGCAAAATGTAGAACAGAAGCTTCCAGAAAAGACAGCTGTTTTGGAGCATTTTGAAAGGCATACTCAATGCCTTCCTAAACGATCTTTAAAATCTCGGGCCTGTGCTTGTTCCGAGCAGCACCAATGAATGTTCCAGCAAGCCGAGATGCCAGGTTCTTGCACTCCTGGAAAGACTCGCTTTTCAAGGATTCATCATCACTTTCGGAGAGTTCTAAATGTCGACAGTGGACCTGGTGAAAAAAAGTGAACCATTAAAAGGGATACACAAACAGAGACAGAAACATAACAACGTTTCCATCATATTTCAATTTTAGGATGGTCAAAGAAAATGCTCCTACCCCTCTATAATCAGTATACCACTCCTACAAATTCTGAAGAATAGATCTTTGATTTAAGTGAACAACACTGAAAACTCCAAAGAATAGCTTAACTAGTTTCATTCCACTTTAATTATTTAAAATAAGTATGCCAACCGTATCCTTAAAATAGAGCAAATAAGGAGATTTCAATGGCAAATATTTTGCACTTTTTTCCAATAACTAGTCTCAAACAACCTATCTTAAAAGCCCTTCAGATCATTACACCCAACAAGTAGCAGGCCTTTGATTTTTGCCTCATGTCTATGAACCTAAGAAATAGCTTTACTTGTCTGTTTTGATGCTGAACCCCAGGGCCATCAGGCACATAAGGTACTGCGTAACTGGTGATGGAAAAAAAACAAAAGCCCAGCGGAAAAACAGCATGAAAGTAAATGTTTTTCAAAAGACATGTTGAAATTAACCCAGGCAGAAAAAAAAAAAGAAATCGTAGTTTAACACATGAGATGTGTGGTCATTGACTAAATTTCACCAAAATATTTGAAGCAGAGAATTCTACCCTCTTCAAAGCTTCTAGAAAAACTCCAGAGACATCACTTTTTTTCTTTAGAACTGTGATCAGATTCTTTACGATCTCTGCAATGCCAGCTCCATGCATTACAAAATGAGAAATTATCGCACGAGCAAGATAATCCTGCAGTAAGATCCGACACTTCTCTAAATTAAGAAAATATATTATTGCGAGCAAAATTTTAAGCAGGCTTTAAGAAATCATAAAAATAATTTAAAGCAACAAAAAGTTTGCCCAGAATGCAAGAAACAGGTGTCAAATTCTGCAGCATACTGTTACCTTTGGGACTGTATCACTAGCAATCAACTTTGCAGCAACAAGCATGACTTTGTCTCCTCAATATACTCTTTGTTAACATCTTCATCTTCTGCATCATCTGAATATATGCATGCAAGGTTTAACCAAAATTAGTAAATAAACATCAGTGTGAAGTTTGAACAAGTTCTTATCAAAGTATGCAACCAACATCTAAAGGGTGCAGCAAATAACAAGCAGAAAGCAAATAAGAATTACTTGCTCCAATTGGTTTCACCTTAATGGTGACTGCCCCATTAGCAGCAAGTATTTCAAAGATTGAGCTCAGAAAAGGAAATGAAAGAACCGCCACCTGAAATTTTGAGCCACTTCTCACAAAGGGTCCAAAACTTACGAAGAGTAGGAACATCAGGACAATATCCTAATCTTTCAAGCATTGTTGACGAAAAAACCGTCTTCCTAAACAGAAACCAGATATCTGCTAGTATAATACAAACCTGGGTCATTACATAAACTTCATTAGATAAATCCGGATTTTTTAAATTCATATATTAAGGCAAAAGGATTACCCAGCAGGCTAGCTGATTTCCTGAATTGCTCCCTTCCCTGACTTCAGGAGGAGAAATAAGAAAATACTCAAGTTCCTCCAACAACGTATCACGTTTAGACAGGAGAGAGGATAAGATTCCTTCAGAGACAGATTCACGGTTTATAATAGAGTGAAAAGTCCAGGCTACATCCATTGACATATTCAGCAGCAGAAAACTAACAACCTAAACAACAATGTGCAGTCATCAGGAACAAATGCAAAGGACACAAAAAAGAAAAACAATTTTTAGAATTTGCTCATTTAACTTACTTCATCGTCCAAGTTTCTGAAGCTGTGCAAGATTGTAATACAATCTCCATAAATTTGCTCAATTGATGCAGGCCTTAACAATTGAAGCTCATACAACCTTTTTAAATTCACCAGAAGAGAATATGTGATGGTTGCAAGATATTGGAAATATAGAGAAGAGATTTCAGGAAGAAGAAGCAGAAGAGATATGAGAAATCAAGAATTCATTCAGAAAATATGCATAATCTCCCTTTACAGGTAAGGGTTATTTTTATACAATTTTACTAGAGAATCTAACTAGCCAACTGTCTGTCCTTTTTTAACTAATTTGGTTACTTCAGCATGACTTGGGCTTCACATTTGGGCTGCTCTGCTGATGGATTAATGAACCCGTGCCTCTCACGTGCCATTGCCAGGTATCAATTCTCAATTCTGCTTTCAATCCCTAACCCTTGACTCTCACTTTCCCCAATTTCCTCTTCGCTTTCTCTTCCTTCTCCCCCGACTATGACAATACCCGTCGCTGGAGAAGATCCTTGTCCCCAAGGATCAAAGTTTGGAAACTGTCCGCTGAGAACGGTATAGTCTTCCCAGGTATCATTCGTTTCATCAAGGTTTGTCCATCGCACCAGTAACTGCGTGACAAGTTTGTTTTGTCGATTCACTACTCTTCTGCCCAATATCTTATATGGCTCGATTCGAAATTGACCCTTTTCATCTACTGTAGGAGGATTTGTTGATGAAATTATTGAGTCCCCAATGTGTTTCTTCAAGAGACTCACTTGAAAAACCGGATGCAAACGCGATGTATCAGGTAAGTCCAAACGGTATACGACCTCTCCAATTTTCTCCTTGATTTTGTAAGGTCCATAATATCGGGCTGCTAATTTCAAATTTTTTTCGTAGAGCCAGAGATGTTTGTCGATAGGGTTGTAATTTCAGGTAAACGTCATCCCCGACTTGAAAAACCCTCTCATTTCTTTTCTTATCTGCTTGTTGTTTCATGCGATTGCTAG